CAAAGTCTGAATAAAATACAAATATGAGTATTAATACATTTTTATTATGAAATCCTTGATGAGTTATTTGATAAATTAGTATCTAATTGATTTTCTCTTTTACAGATTTCAAACAATTTCTACTTCACTTTCACAGTCCCCTCAGATTCACTAAGAAATGGCTTGAAAATTAGGAATGTTGTTCCTGGTACAGAGGAGGAAGCACGGTGTGTGATGGACGTACGGGATACCTTTCACCCCTGATCATAATTTTTGAATTTGAGTCTGTGAATGTGAATCTGAATTAGTCGGGACCATTGATGATACATACCAATTTTATTTTATTTTGCCTATAGAATCATTTGTTGATGTACTTCCAATATATTTTTTATTTGTTCTCATATGTGATTTTTGATACATTCAATCCTTAGGCGATTTTTTGGACATTTAGAGGCTAATTCACCTATTGTATAGTACTAATAATTCAATCCTTACACTTCATTTTTATTTTATAAAAATTGTATTTTTTTGGAGATTAATTTGAAAGAAAAAAAAAGTTTGAAGTAAAGTAGGACATTAAAAAGTGAGAGTTAAAAAAAAGGCACAATATTTTTTAAAAGGGCTCGATGGTGTAGAGCAAAATGGAAAAAATATATTAAATGGGCATGATAAGATGGGTTAAAGATATAGCGGACACCTTATTTTATTTCTCATTCTGTAATTTTTATGTATTTACTTCTTCATATTTCGAACTCCTGAATGAAAATTATGTGTGTCACTGTTTGATATTTATTCTTTATTACTCCGTTTAAAAAAAAATGTTACGTTTTTATATTTTTATGATAAGAAGCTCTTATAGCCATACAAATGATATTAACATGTTTAAGACTAGAAGTTTTATAACCGCACAATATTATGACATATTTACGATTATACGCTTTACCTACCGTTATCAATAATTCAAAGATCTTATCATCAATCAATTAGCAAATAGCCAAATAGGAATGAAAACGATAACTACTATCTATTGTAAAACATTAATTGTTGTACAACCTATCAATTATTAGATAAATTATTTATGCAATATTTAGAGCTCATACGTGCACTCTGATGGTGCCATTTAAATCTAACCCTAGGTTAGTGACTTTCATCGCACTTTGGAGGGGCATTATTTGTCTAGGTCGGCTCAATAAGTCGAGCCTACATCATAATTTGTGACAGTGGGGGTTACGTTAATTGATTTTTCAATTGTATGCACTTAAATGTTCAAACTCCTGTAATCGTTACTCGAATTTTAATTTGGGATATTTTTGTCCATAAACTCACAAAATGCATATGCGTGATGTTAACAAAGTTTAATAGGACTTTGTAGACCAAAAAATGTGGCGACTAAGGATATTAATGGTATGGTTCGGACGATTATTTTATAAAATTTATACCATACTATTTTTCGGTTATTTTATTTTATATAATCAAAAGTATACTTTACGAAATCATCTCATTATCTTGGTTTCTCTTCGATATCAATAATTGGTATCTAAGTGTCACAATTTTAGTTTTGATAAGCCATTCAAATGGACAGAGGGTGATGAGTTTAGCTGTCTAGGTGAAATATTCGGACAAGTTTAAAGTGTTATCTTTGTATTTAACCTTTTTTTAAAGAAAAAATATACCAATAAGGATTTCCGCGAATCTTAATTCACAATCCAAAGCCATAACAATTAAAAATATTATCATATAATCATATGTTATTCAAAGTGAAATCTCCCGGTAAGAATATTAATCATTTTATTTTGTTTGGTATATAAAAAATATATATATATCACATCATTTGCAAATTATAATTCCTCTGCAATCGTTAAATTACAAATAAAGCATTTGAGTACTTTGCGGAAGAATTTGTCCTTAAATAGAATAAATATTCATCCTTTATTTTTAGAAATTTGCACTATTGTATATTTTAATTTCATTACCTAAGTGTGTAATAATATTATGTGATTTTTTTCAAATTGTTATATTTAATTAGTATATGTTTGCACGTCTTATTTAATTGGGTAGAAAAATAATTGGTGGGGGGTTGGTGGAACATTTACTTGTGCAATTTAATTTCCTTTGATTCAGAAAATTATTGAGCTAAGTTGACTTTCTAAAAAAATAAAATATTAAGGAGTAATCCAAAATTCATGGATCTTGATTCTTGAGACTACTCGGTGAGGTAATTACAATGTGAGGAATCAAACCATCATCAACAAGGTGAAATATCAGATAGTCAATTAACTGAACTACTAAGATTTCTTGAAACTATTCGGGGGAGATGATTACAAGATGAGGAATGGAACAATCATCAACAAGGTAAAAGATCATGTAGTCAATCAACTAAACTTCTAGGATTTCCCGAGACTATTCTAATCCAAAATTCATATATCTTGATTCTTAAGACTACTCGGGGGAGGTGATTACAAGATGATGAATTGAACCATCATCAAGAAGGTGAAATAATAGGTAGTCAATCAACTGAACTACTAAGATTTTTTGAGACTACTCGGGGGAGTTGATTACAAGGTAAGGAATCGAACCATCATCAACAAGGTAAAAGATCAGATAAACAATCGACTGAACTACTAAGATTTTCCGAGACTAATCTAAATCCCTATACCAATTAATGACTTTATTACGCTTCATTTAAATTCCCCTGTCTATTGAAACACCGTCATATAAAATGAAACAGAAAGAAGTAAGTACTATTGTTTAAACTATTGCAAGTTTGCAACTATAAAGAGGGGATTGATCTTCTTCATATTCTTTATTGACTAGCAATGGCTTCTCCATCACAAAACACAAAAAGTAGTCTTGTCCATGTCTTTGTTATCTCATTTATGGGTCAAGGCAATGTTAACCCTTTTCTCAGACTAGCGAAACACCTTGCTAGCAAGGGCATGTTGGTTACTTTCTCTGCACCCGAGCTTGTTGGCAAAGAGATGAGAGCTGTCGATGAGAAGTTGATCATCGATCAGCCAACTCCTTACGGAGATGGTATGATCAGGTTTGAATTCTTCGAGGATGGATCCTCGAATCAATCCATTACTGAGGATTTTGACTTGAGGATGGAAATGCTTGAGCAAGCCGGACGAAGGAACTTGACTAAAATCCTGAAGAAACAGGATGACAAAGGTCGTCCTGTTTCTTGTATAGTCAACAATCCATTTTTTCCATGGGTATGTGAAATTGCTGAGAGTCTTGGAATACCTAACGCGTTGCTTTGGATTCAATCTTGTGCTTGTTTTTCGATATATTACCATTATAATTTCAATCTAGTGCCTTTTCCAAGTGAATTCGAACCTGAAAAGGATGTCATCCTACCTAGTATGCCTGTTTTGAAATACTATGATCTGCCTACGTTCCTACTCCATTCAAGTGGATTCGAATCAGTGTTGAAACGGATTATGTTGAATCAATTCAACATTTTGTCCAAACCTTTTTGCATTTTGGTGGACTCATTCCAAGAACTTGAACATGAGGTGGTAAGGCATATGTCGAAAATTTGCCCCATTAGAACTATTGGTCCCTTGTTATTCAATGACCCTAAAATCATTAGTCCCATTCGCGGTGATTGCACAAAAATCGAGGAGGATTGTATCGAGTGGCTTGACTCGAGGCCAACATCTTCAGTTGTTTACATTTCATTTGGTAGTGTTGCAGTTCCTGATCAAGAACAAGCAGGTGAGATCGCGTTTGGACTATTAAATTCGGGGATATCTTTCTTATGGGTCATGAAGCCACCCCCTGCCTATTCTGTTTTTCAGCCTGTTGTGTTACCTGATGGTTTTCTTTCGAAAGTCGGTGGAAGGGGGAAAATAGTGACATGGTGTCCACAAGAACAAGTCTTGTCTCACCCTTCTGTCGCCTTTTTTCTCACACATTGTGGATGGAATTCGTCGATGGAGGCAATTTCAAGTGGCGTCCCCATCATGGCTTACCCTCAATGGGGTGATCAAGCCACAAACGCAAAGTATTTGGTTGATGTGTTCAAAATGGGGATCAGATTAAGCAGGGGTGAGAATGGGAGTAAGATAATTACAAGGGAGGAGATCGAGAAATGCTTGCGTGAAGCCACTAGTGATGATTCGAAGGTAGCAGAGATGAAAGAAAATGCGCACAAGTGGAAGAAACAAGCAGAGGAAGCAGTGGCAGAGCGCGGCTCCTCTGCTATCAATATCCAAGCATTTGTGGATGAGTTGAAAAATATCCATGCCAAGAAACAAGAAGAAAACACCTAGTGATCGATAGTGTGTGTGTGTGTGCGCGTGTGGAGTTGGTGTTAGTTTGTGTTTTTACCATTTCTAAAGTTCAAGATGCACACTTGAAAGATTGTTCATTCCAAGTTTAACTTCAACCTATTACATAAATATTGAATTTATTTGTTATTTACATTTATGTTCGATCCTCAAAGTGTGTTAATCTATGGTTAGAATGTTGCCCCGTGGATTTCTTCAACGATAAAAGTAATACAACGCGAGATGTGTTTTAGACGCCCTTCATGAATCACACATATGAAATGTAAACAAAACTAAGTTTGGTATGACTTAAGAGATTGTCCTTGTAAATTCCAAGTCTAAATTTAACTTATTATATACATGTTGAAATAAATAGAGGGGGTGAAAGAAGAAATGAGAAAAGAAAGCAAATATATACCATTGTATGGATAATTACTTGGTAACTCGAACCCACAACCTTAGAGCTGGAGGGAGCTTACAAGCAACTCCTCTCGTCTTTCACAACAACTTTATTTCTTTTTTGATTGAGAAATTTATTGAGCTAAGTTGACTTGCTAAAATAATATTTAGGGACAATCCAAAATTCATGGATCTTGTTTCCCTAAAATATCCAAGTTAAACTATTGCCAGTTATTATTAAAATTAATCTTCAATTGCAACTAGAACTTAAACATCATTTGCCTAAATTGTTTGTTCTTAAATCTTTTTTTTCCCTTTGGCATATCCACTACTTCATTTTGCCTAAAAATGGATTTTGCATCACAAAACACCAAAAAAAGTAGTCTTGTCCATGTCTTTCTTGTCGCATTTACGGGTCAAGGCATTGTTAACCCTCTTCTTAGACTAGGGAAGTGTGTTGCTAGCAAGGGTATGTTGGTTACCTTCTCTGCACCCGAACGAGTTGGCAAAGAGATGAGAGCTGTCGATGAGAACTTGATCATCGATAAACCAACTCCTTATGGAGACGGTATGATCAGGTTTGAATTCTTTGAGGATGGATCCTCGGACTATGTTGATCCATCCAAAATTAATGATTTTGACTTGGTGATGGAAATGTTTGAACAAGCTGGAAGAAGGAGCTTGACTAAAATCCTGAAGAAACAGGATGACGAAGGTCGTCCTGTTTCTTGTATAGTCAACAATCCATTTACTCCATGGGTATGCGAAATTGCTGAGAGTCTTGGAATACCTAACGCGTTGCTTTGGGTTCAATCTTGTGCTTGCTTTTCGATATACTACCATTATCATTTCAACTCTGTACCCTTTCCAAGTGAATCCGAACCTGAAAAGGACATCGTCCTACCTAACATGCCTGTTCTGAAATACGATGATCTGCCTACGTTCCTAGTCCTGTCGAGCCCTTTCCAGGCGTTGAAACGGGTTATTTTGGATCAATTCCACAATTTGTCCAAACCGTTTTGCATACTGCTGGACTCATTTCAAGAACTTGAAGATAAGGTGGTAAGTCATATGTCGAAAATTTGCCCCATTAGAACTATTGGTCCCTTGTTATTCAATGACCATGATATTTCTAGTCCCACGAACGTTCACATTCGTGGTGATTGCACGAAAATAGAGGAGGATTGTATCGAGTGGCTTGACTCAAAACCTCATTCTTCAGTTGTTTACATTTCATTTGGTAGTATTGCAGTTCCTAATCAAGAACAAGTAAATGAGATCGCGTTCGGGCTATTAAATTCAGGGATATCTTTTTTGTGGATCATGAAGCCACCCCCTGAATATTCTGTTTTTAAGCCTGTTGTGTTACCTGATGGTTTTCTTTCGAAAGTTGGTGGCAGGGGGAAAATAGTGAAATGGTGTCCACAAGAACAAGTCTTGTCTCATCCTTCTATCGCGTTTTTTCTGACACATTATGGATGGAATTCATCGATGGAGGCAATTTCAAATGGCGTCCCCATCGTGGCTTACCCTCAATGGGGTGATCAAGTCACGAACGCAAAGTATTTGGTTGATGTGTTCAAAATGGGGACTAGATTAAGGAGAGGTGACAATGGGAGTACGATAATTACAAGGGAAGAGATCGAGAAATGCCTGCGTGAAGCCACTAGTGATGATCCAAAGGCCACGGAGATGAAAGAAAATGCGCTTAAGTGGAAGAGGAAAGCTGAGGAGGCAGTTGCAGAACGCGGCTCGTCAGACAAAAATATGCAAGCATTTGTGGATGAACTGAAAAAAATCCATGCCAAGAAACAAGAAGAAAATGTCTAGTCTTGTTTAACTACATTCATTTCAAGTGTATAATTCAATCTATGGGACTATATGATTGAGTATGTTGTTGTTTTTCTGCTTTCTATCGCACGTTTCTACTATTTGGTTATATAGTATGTGAACTCAAACAAATGGGAAGTGCCTATGATTAATTAGTTTCAAGAAAACGGTCATTCACGTCAGGAATAGAGGTTATTAAGGATGTACTTTCTTTTCCTTTTGTTCATCTAGATTGTGTTGGTCTTCAGTGTACCACTTGTCTAGTCTGATCTATGCATGCCTACATAGAGTACAAGATCAAAAAGAAAGCATTGAATGGATGTTCGATTATATGTTTGTATATAAAATTATATGGATAAGCATCTCTTTAAATTAGAAATAAACAACAGCTAGTAGCTCTTAAGCATAAGATGTTCCTCATCAGCTGACACCGAGGATTTTCAAGGAAAAATACTTATCTAGACGAGGTCAATGGTCGATCAAAAAGGCTCCACGATCTACGCTAGTGACCTTCATTGCACTTTGAAGGAGAGTCCAAATAAGGTTGGCCCAAGTGGTCGAGTCTATGTCATAATTTGTGGTCGAGTTCTATAAAATTAAACAAGTAGACATATGCGTTGTACGTGACAATTTACGTCGTATGTGGCATCCTACACATCATGTCACGTGGATGCACGTGTCTATTTTTCAACTTTATACAAATTTAAGTACCTATTTGTGCACTTGCAAAATTAAAGGATATAAATATCAATTAAGATCAAGTTAAAAGACACGTGTATGTATTATATTAAATATTATACCCACAAATAATACAATACAATAAAAAAATAGGAAAGTCAATGATCCAAATAGAGTTTCTTTACAAGTAATTACTTAGTTGATTGTGACATAACTAAAACTCATTTGATCAAGTTGTAGAAAAGTTAAATTAATAATCAATTAACTAACCCACCGAATCAAATCGAGTGCCAAAAAGTCAAACAAACCGACTTTTAATTACCTATTGTTTCGTAACGTATAGTAATGAATTGTATTATTTTAATATTATGATTTGCTAAGTATTGGTCATGTATAAGATAAGTATAAAAAAAAAAATCAAAATTAATACATATATTATTTTGTATAATACTTTTTACCGAACGACCCTTGAAGTTGTTCAAAATTTTGAAGACTTGATATATGTTGTAGAGCCAATAATCCCGAGGTAAGTCTTTTAAGATCAAAGCGAGTGTTATTTGGCAGCTGATTAGAGTTATTCAAGTATTAGTAATATATGAATTAGTTAGGAGAGAATATGTATTATTTATACAAAGTTTAGTTATTCATGAATCATATATTGATTATTAATATTTAATATAGTACATATTCCACATTCTATATAGCTGCATAAAATAATACATATATCTTTTCATAATTTATGCATTTATTAATTATGCGAATTTCCGAATTGCAAATCAAATAGTATCATATATTAACCTAAGATCTAATACACACATAACGACACTTTGACTTTTCTTCACCTTCTTGGCCAAGGGCTAAGTCAAAAGTCTTCTTAAATTACTTGTTTTTAGTACGTACTCTTTAATTTCTCATTAAAAAAAAAATAGGGTACATTTTTTATGATTTCAATTAGGAACATGATAAGAAGTTACAATAAAGACTATGAATAAATAGTGAAAAAAGGTGAAGTCTTGTTCTTCATTAAGTCTTTAGCAATTATAACTAATATTCTTCAACAATAATGTCACACACTTTTTCTTCTGAAATTCACAAGTACGATGCATTTCTGAGTTTTAGAGGTGAAGATACACGAAGAACATTCGTGAGTCATCTCTATAACGCTTTAATACAAGGAAGAATTGATGTTTTCAAAGATGATGAGCGTCTAGAAACCGGAAAATCAATTTCTGACGAACTACCAAAAGCCATAGAAGAGTCTAAATTTGCTATAGTGATATTTTCTGAAAGCTATGCATCGTCAAAATGGTGTTTAGATGAGCTTGCACACATTATAAAGTGTCGAAAGGAATTGAAACAAATCGTAATTCCTATTTTCTATAATGTGGATCCATCAGATGTGCGTCATCAAACTCAAACTTTTGCTGAGTCTTTTTCCCAACATGAGGAAAAATACAAAGACGATATCGAGAAGATTCAAAGATGGAGAGATGCATTTGCGGAGTCTGGGAAAATATCAGGGTATCATTTGCAAAATTACAGGTAAGATTACTTTTCTTTGTCTTATTAACGGTTAAGTCAAACATGTCATATAAACTGAGTCAAAGAGAATATTTAATTTGATTTCTAAAGTTCGATGTAAATAGTTGTTCTTTTCATTGTTACATTTAGGGATGAGGCAGATTGCATCAAAAAAGTTGTTGAAAGACTAATGTCAGTATTACATATTGAATCTGATGACGATGATGATGATGTCCGTGCCTTCATACGGGGCATGGACAATAACTCTCCAATTCTTATCGATGGAGGCAAAATGGTATTATTTCTTTTATCATGTCCATTAAGTACCTAGTTGCTAGTTTCAAAATTGTGTTAGTTGACCCTTGAAAATATTGTTTCAATTATCAATACAAAATCCTATTTAGTAAGTAATTATATAATGATCAATAGTCTTTAAAATACCAAATATTATGTATACATGTTTTTTTTTTTATAAATGATTAATTCACACTAGACATATGTCCACAACTAAATTAAAATTACATAATTCAATTATAGTTTTTTTCTTTTATTGTGTTATTTTCGTAAGTACTAGAATTTAGATTAATAAATAACTAATTGTTGATGAAAAGGACCAATGTCTATGTGTACCGTGTTACGTGTATGAGTGGAACTGTGGAAGTCATGTCAAGTGGGCAGGGTTAGTCCATGGCCGATCCAACCCGACCTGATAAGAAAGGGCGAGTGACTAGCCTGCCCCATTCATAAGGGTTGTTGGGTGGTCAGGGTCCAGGCGCAGGCCACCTACTAGCTTGGCCCATTCATTAGGATTGTTGAGTGGTCTCTATAGGACCTTTTTCGATTTGTTTTCTAATTTATGATGTCCTATGTTTGTGATTTGTCTTGTTAAATAGAGTTTTTCGTTAGATAAGAAGAGGAAGAAATGTTTTATGATAGCAGCAAGGGGACTTGATATTGAATGGAGTCATAAACCAAAGTATTGGAAATGGTTATCTCACTCTGACTCCAGGTTTTATATATTCGCAGTCCCTTTCCATATTTTAGTATAAAATTTGAAAGAAATCAGTAATAATTATTGAGTAAGGTGATTTTTTTTTGTAGATTCACGGAAGTGGCTAAACTCAAGAAGGTCTATTGGCTTGAAATTCAAGGCAAAATTGATTCTCGAAGACTGTCAAAAAGAACCAAATATGCTGCTTATCTAGTGTTCAAATTGGAAAATCAATTCCATGGCCTCGAAACTGTTAATGCAGTTGTTAGATTTGTTGATTCTGTGAGTAAAAAAGATGCAGAGAAACGAGCTAGCGTTGTGCATTTTGCAGGACGAGGACCTAGAGAAACGCTACCCTTCAAAAGAGGTGATGGATGGATGGAATTAAAAATGGGAGACTTTTTCAATGATGCGGGAGAAGACGGATATGTTGATGCGCAATTAATGGAAACTAAGAAACTAGATGAAAAAAGTGGCCTCATTGTTCAAGGAGTGGAGTTTCGTCCCGAATGAAGAAGAGAATAATCCTCCTCTTACTATGCCCTTTTGTTTTGGTCTCATTTTGATTGATTCAAGTACTTCTATATATATGGCCCTTCTAGAGGAACGTACTGATAGAGAAAATTGAATTTGATTAGACAATGTGTGTTTGTAGTAAGGTCGGTTTTTTAAACATTTTAATATGATTCTATAAG